AAGAATAATTCTAAAATCTTTTTTTAACTATAAAGATAATGATAAAAATAAGATAACATAAATATTTAACTTACTCTTAGTAAAGCTGTTTGTAAGAAGTTATGAAACACACTGATCTCAAGAGCACTATAGAAACAACAAAGATAGGCATTTTAAAATTTTCTGTTGGGAACTTTGTTCATACAGTTGTCAATAGAGGGCATTGTTCTTCAATCAAGGAAAAACTGGAATCTTTAAATCTACAAGGGAGCTTATTATTTACATTTAAAGTCCAACCTATCCATCATTGGACCTTCTGCGTCCATCCTATATAATTTTTCAAAATCTATTTTCATTATTTTCACTTGTCTTAGATACGAGCTACAATCAGCAAATGTGCTAATGAAAAGTTTATTTCTGGTTAGAGAGGTATTCTGCAGTATCTTTAAAAGAGATATCTCATTCAGCTTCATTTTAATCTTCATTGAATGCACTTGTTAAGTTGTGACCATATCCTTTATAAGTGGGTAATTGTCGTTTGTTTTAAGTCGGTTTGTAAATATTGTTATTATTTTCCATTGAAATGAAAACATTGTAGTTTTTAAAGTGCATATTAATTTGTTGCAACTCAATTCTTTGAGGTGGATTCCATATTGGTTCAAGTTGGTGGTGTATGTGTATAGTTTCTGTCTTAATTTCAGTCGTTTGTTTAAAGTATTTCTTTTCATTTTGATGTATGGGCTACAAATCGTTATTTAATAGAATCTTAATGCCTGTAAAAAAAAAATTTAAAAATTGTCATATTTTTGTCTTGAGTTCGTGTATATTGTATTCTCTTATGGGATTCCCTTTAAGAAAAGTAAAAAAAAAAAAATTATAATTTTTCAAAATATTGAAGGACGCATAAATAAACCTATGAACTATATTTAAGCCTCTAAGATAACGTATTTTAATAGTCTATCTTAATTTATTTTTACCACTACTTTGTACTGGGGAGGTAGGCTTTCGGGCTGAAGCCCTCCTCCCTCACCAAAATGGTAAATTATAACCATATTTTACAGAAACAAATATTAAAAACTATCTCTTAAAGTATTCTTGTTCGTGTAATTACATTAAATAGGACTTCAAGAACCACTTAAACACTATTTCATATTAGTAATTAATTAATTTCTTTTTTTTTTTCAAAATAATTACCGTTGTATATATAAGCATATATATATGAAAAAAAATCTTTCGGCCTGTACCCCCCTCCCCCTCAAATTAAATCCTGGACTGCTAGTGCTTTATAAAATTCTTAACTAACCACAGAGATATAAAGTATTTATTTCGGTTTTACAAAGTATTTTCCTCTATTTGGTTTGTCCTTTACGTGCCTAATCCTAGAACTGACGGTTTATCCTGAGCCGTGTTGCGAAAGGAGCCATTAATAGATACGCCGTTGAAGGCAGGTGGTGGATATCCTTTGAAAGAGATGCAAGAACTGGTCCTTGGAGGATATCATTGTAGTCCTGGCTTTGCCTCCACTCATGCATATGTATCCGCTCCGCTGTTCCTCATAGCTTTGTCGTCAAGATCGGTTGGTCCTAGCTCACAATGGTGGATCTCTCTTGTAGCGCTTTCTATTTGAAGATTTGTATTTACTGTTATCGCTTCTTGAATAACAGAACTGAAGGCTACTGATAACTAGGAATAACTGTGAAATATATTCATGTGTATTGTAGTGAAGTTTGTTCATGTATTAATACATTAAAGTACTTCTACAATAAAAATCCTAAAATTTTACTGATTACCGACCTCTACCCTCCTCAGGGGTGCATATAAGGGAGTATGGCAAAACTTCCAAAACTTCAAAATTTATGAAGGGGCCACTTTTTGACGAGGGTTTCAATTTTTGAGGAGGGACATTTCGATGGGATTATGAATTCTCAAAATGAAAACATTCAAATTAAAAGAAAAGTTGAAGCATGAAACAGACCTCAGGATATGGAATTGTATATAATCCATGGATATTTAAGTTATACTTTCGTTTGCACTTTGTTTAAGAAAACGAGAGGAATAAAATATCTTGGGAAGGGTGGGGGGGGGTATGGGCACCCCTGATTATATTCACACAACATTCCAAAGATCCGCAGATACTTTATAATAATTATATACTAACAACTATATCCTATTCTAATATTTACTTTTTTTTCTCGATATGTGCCGACTTATCGATTTTAATTACAGTCGATTATACTCTAACCCTGCGAGACCGTTGTGTTATCCTCCAGATCTCCTCATTTCGGGGATGTTCTGTCCCGACGAGGGTCGCCGGGGTTATCTTCTCCCGGGACCACCCCGCCGACGAAGAAGAACCCTATTTGTGAAATAACGGGGTACCTCCAGCTTCCTCGCTTACTCGTCGTCACGATCCTCTTAGTCTCCTTGTCGGTCCTCAGGAGTCCGCTGCCGAAGACATCCTTTTTGGCTTGTACCTTCCGTACAAGGAAACATGGTTTATTTTAATTTGTTTTGGCGTTTTGCTCGTCCTCCTTTATACATGTACAGATTGTGGTTTAAAATCGTTAAATAAATAATCTAGTTATTTATTTGATTTTTATTATCGTCTAATGTCTTTATTTATTTCAACATCGTACTGTTTAAGGATTATCCAGGATATTAATTCTCAAGCCGCAATTCATTAATTGAATATTCTTTAAAATAATTATTAGTGCATTGTATAACTAGTGTTGCCCAAATGCGAGACCGAGACGAGTCTTGTTCTTGCAAAGTCTTGGTCATGGTCTTGGTCTTGCGCAAGAATTGCGGTTACTTATTAGCTTATTACTATAAAGATATTACTGTAATTTTTTAGATAGGAGAAACCTAACTAAGCACGAATGAAAAATTAGAGGAGTTAAATGCAAAAGTATATTGCTTATACAATTATAAACGTATAGTAACTAAGATTGTCAAGTAATTAGTAACTATTTTGCCTTCATTTTTATTAAAAAGCTCGATTTTTTTTTAACCAGTCCTGGTCTTGGTCTCGCAACAGTTATGTGGCCTTGGTATTGGCCTTGCGAAGTGCAAGACCAAGACCGATTTTGGGCAACACTAAGTATAACCAACCAAAGAGAATATAATATCCAGATAAACTTTAAGGATTGCACAGAGAATTTTTTTTCAATTTACTTGATATCTCTCACAAAAACTCATTAAGTGATATTTCATAACCTCAAATCAATAAGAACTTTGATGAAATTCTATTTTATTAAATCTGAAAATTTCGTGCTTGTTAACTATTTTTGATATGTAAAAGAATTTGTATAATTTTATTCCACTCTTTTCAAGTATTTTCTTCATGTCTTACGCATAATTAAAACATTTGAAAAATGAAATCACTTTCTTGGTCCAATAAATGATCTTATACGTTACTCTTGTGGATCTTTTTATTTTTCCCTCAGTATTATTTTGTGAAAAAAAAAGAAGATCGATTTACCTAAAGTTGCGTTACTGTGGATCGAATTCTTCACATCCCGTTTTTTTTATTTTGATAAAGCTAATAAATCATACTTTGAACGTAATGATTTATCATCAAATCCTTCTGTCATTACTGACATAAAACGTCTGAACCTCTTCAATAAGTGGCAGTAATTTTGTTCAGTAATTTTATGCAGGTATTTTTCCGTGTTGCTACAGAAGAAAAAACAATAAAAATGAGAATAAATGAAAAAAAAAAGAAAAGAGTCTAAAAGGCATTAGGAGGAGGAGAAAGAGATTCTGGTTGCATACTGGAATAATGGAGCTATCCTCACAATTACGCCTCGGGAGGGGTAATTGTGGCCAATCATGGCCGAACATGATATGTCAACTCCGCCGCGTAGAAACAATTTTCGAAAGGTTGTTTTCTTTTCGAAGGATTCTCATTGCATAATTATTCTGGTCTTCCGTGTCCATAATCCTTTACCGTTTCTGTCGCATCACTTTCGTCTTCAAAAAATGATCTCTTCGTAGACAAAGGTTTAAATGCAAATTATGAAAGCGTATGTCATTATAAGTAAAATGAACTCTGCCATTCCAGAGCTTTTGCTTCAAAAAATGGCGACTGATTTAAAGGATATTAGGCCAGTTCAAAACGGGAAATATATTGTGAAAAAATGCGGAAAGGTTTTTATTTTTTTAACTTGTATGTATAGATTCAAACATGTAAAAAACAAAATTGCTAAGTGAACATGTACATTAGGAAATGTATGATGTACATTACCTCATATGCTGATTGTAAAATTTTACAGGTGGAAATAAAATTTTTGAGATAAAAAAAATGAATATATTGTACAACTACCCTGATTCGGTCTAACCATTTTTTTTCTGACAATTTTGACTTCAATTAATATCTGAAAAAAACTTGTACCACTACAACCCATGCAGGGTCTTGGGTATAGTACTTTATAAGGAAGTGCTGTTTCTTGGCCAATGGTTGTGCAAGTAGGTGATTTGATTGAGATTACGCTCAACTGTCAGGTTTTTCTTCTTAATCAATTGCTTAATTAAGAGTAACCTTACAGAAACTGAATGTGCCCCAGAAGGGTCTTGCGATCCTAGATTCGATCCATTCCTGGTGAAACAGAATAAATAATTATATGTTATTAACCGGACTCGAACTCCGGACCTTGAGTTTAGCAGTCCAGGAATCTATTCGGGCCAGAATCACGCTCCGACTCCAGGTTTTTCCTCTTAATCGATTAGTTTTAAGAGTACCCACTTTATAGAGCGTGGGTTTGACCCAAGTGGACTTCCATTTCCTAGGGTCGATCTACGGCTGACGAAACAGAATAAATAATTTATCTGCCATCAGCCGGACTTGAAACTGGGATCTTGAATATTGGAAGTCAGGGCCTTACCACTGCTATCCCGCTCTCATCAAACGACAAAATATTTTTCCAAAATTTTACAGTTGCGTCTTTGTTCCACTAAATGTTTCTTTATTAATTAAATATTAAAGGACTTTTGCTGAATTTTCATTAACCTTCTTGTTGCAGGACTCCTTTGCCACTTGGATGACGCTTGCACCTCCAGCCCCTGCCAGGCCGGCGCCAACTGCGACACCAGCCCTATCAACGGATCGTACACTTGCTCCTGCACTAGCGGCTACAAAGGGATCGACTGCTCTGAAGACATCGATGAATGCGAACAAGGTAAGTCCTCAGTTTATTATTAATTCTAGGTATCTATAGTTCATCAGTTTTAGGAGCATAAACCTACGTAAAATCATGGTACTAGATTAATTTAAAATTAAGAAAAAAATCTTAGTAGATTCATTCCTCATAGAAATATCCATAACTTGTCAGCAAGATACAGCTCAAAGTATTGATGAAACGATGTACAGGAATAGTTTCTTTTTTTATTCGAAAAATTAGTATATTATTTTAACGTAACATCTGGGCAATTAATGTGCGCATCACACTGCAGTTATCGAAGAATACTGGACCTTTGGAAACAGTCTATCACTGGCGATCCTAGCATCTTCCAATATTTATTTAGTTTTATAGGTCGAAAAATTCTCTGAAGATTAGAAACCAGACAGATGTCGCTCAGAAAGGATGCATTTTATGTTTCTGGCAAGAAAAAGCGCCTTCCTAGACAATATAATTGTAGTTCTTTCATTCTGAAAGCTGCCAGATTTAATTCTTTAGGATGTCGAAAACGCGTATAAGGATATCTTTCCAGTTTTTCGTTTTGCAAAAAAAAAAACTTCTTTTTTCTGGGAAGTTGTCTGATATTCTTAGTTCTTTGGCAAGACTATTCCAATTAGCAACAATTGAATATATTTGTTGTATTATCAAAATTGCATGTTTACAAGTTTACGTTTCGGGATATTTATTCCCATCTTCAGAACCACAATCCCAATGATCTTGTGGTTCTGAAGATGGGAGTAAATATCCCTAAACGCCAACTTGTAAACATGCAATTTTGATAATACAACAAATATATTCAATTGTTGCTAATTGGAAGTAATCATTGCCAAAGAATAAATTTAAAAAAAATGAAAGAGACTTAACATATATAAACGACATTATTCACAATACTTTAAGATCATATGTCGTAATCTAATCCCTGTAGCCATTTCTTTTTGTCATAACAGTCTTCCTCCGGAGTCCCTTTCTGCTACAACCTCATGTAAACCTTCCAACCTATTCTTTTCCGAGCGACCTCTTCCTCCTTTCCAATGGTACATACTAATGTATTCTTTTAGGCCATCGGTTATCTACCATTATCATTACATACCCAAACCATCTCATCTTTTTTGTTTCAATGGAGTACAGGATGTTAAGGGATTCGTTCACTTAATCCCTTATGACATTATTTAGAATATGTTATAATCTTGATATTGTACAGCTAAGTCTCTAAAAATCCATCTCCATTGATAAGAATTTTCTTGCTGATTCGGTTGAAATCGTCCAGGTTTCTGTGGCATTTAAAAAAGTGCTTACGACAAAAGAATAGTGCAATCTCTTTTTCGTTTGGAGCATGACTCATTTATTCCATAAAACAGAATTTAAAGTGCGTATGACCTTCCTTCCTGTGATGACTTTTTCATCAATATCTTTCTTGCTGTTGCTCCCTTTCGCAAGCCACCTGCCTAAATATTTGGATTGCTCATTTGGGGCCAAATCTCATTCGCCAACATTTAGTGAGGAGTTTCCACTATTATTGAATGCAATGTATTTACTTTTTGTTTTGCTGATTCCTCCTTCCGTGTAAGCTTCTAACAGCTTCCTCATAATAAAGGAAGCATGTTCTTCGGCATTTGCAATAATGACCTGGCATCGACAAATTGTACAGGTATTTACAACTATAAATTTCTACTTTTTAAAAATGACTATTCTAATCTCTTACCAATCAATAACCTGTACTTTCTTAAAATATTTTTTTTACAAAAATATATTTGCTACCTGTTTAAATTTTTTATTGTTTTTCCAACTATGGCCAGTAAAACCTTAAGTGAAAGCAATGTTTAGAATTTGACGAAAAATAATACTAAACCATTAGTACATTAGTCAGTCCATAACTTTCCTCTACTGACTTATTTATAATCTTGACTACTTTCGGTTGTAAGGATACAAAAATAAATAAATAAATCCTATAAATAACTAAGCATTTCATATTAGCTGTTGGCCAATTCCTTTCGTTGCCTGACCTACTGGGGCAGGTCGGCCGACTTCCTGCATCGGCGGAATTATAATTCCCTCCTGGAAGCCGGTCCAAAACGAGGCCAGGGAATCGGAGTCATGTCGCCTTCCCATCGCCTCCTTCAAGTGCCTGGAGTAGAGTATTATATCTTCATAATATAACTAAGGGTTCGGTACCCACTTAGTTTATTAGTAGATGTCGGTGGGAGGTTTAAGTCCGGTAATGAGGGAGTTTGTGGTCCTCTTGTTATGATTAGCAACAGATGCGTTTCGTCAGTTGTTGGCAACAGATGTACCCAAATGAGTAAAGACCAAGTTATTATGAAATTGTATATAATAAGGTTATTATTAAATAAATATTGGTAACCATGAGTTCTTCTTGGTATCAATTAACTGCCTCAAAAAAGAACAATGCGATAAACAAATGGTATACAAGGTCTTTCATTTGCAAAAGTAATCAACATCTTCCTTTTTAAAAAGATATATTATCCCATAAATTTTGAATTATATAATAAATTGTTCACAGGCGATGTTTCGATTAAAAGTTAATAGTCCTGATACAGACAGCTTTTTATTAAATTATTAACATCCGTCTGAAACTTCGTAAATAGCTTCATCTCATCATAACCACAAATATTATATTGATGAAAATTCTCGAAATTGGGGCGTTTTCAATCTGGAGGTCGGCAAACTTTGTCTATTTAATTAAGTTCTAAAAACTCGTAAATACCCATTTGCTTTTCACTCGTTAGGTAATTTCAACACAAAGTAAAGAAAAGTGGTGGCCTTAAAAAATATTGAGCCGTTTGGCGTGACCTAAACCCCTAAAGTGCTCAATAGTTTTGAAGGCCGCCTTTTTTTTCTCGAATTGTGCTCAAATTATTTTAAGATTCAAGTGGAAAGCAAATGGATATTTTAAGGTTTTAGTACCTAATTTAATAGATAGTTTGTTGACCTCCAGATTGAAAAAGCCCCAATTACGAAAATATTTTTAGGTTGCACTGATGCTATTTACAAAGTTTCGGACATCTTCCCTTGTTATTTCGGTTTGCTGGAACCCTTAACATAATAACATACAAAACATTATATTATTAACTATACTATTATATTAATTATAGTTTTGCCATCTTTGTTTCGGAATAATCGGTACAGACCTTTCGGCGTTACAGTCTTTGGTGACTCAAGTTTTTTGTACGCCATTTTGGAACGAAAGGTTGGATAGTAATGTCAAATTGGGAGGATCATCCTCGGGTGACCTCTGACATTGATCCCAAATCTCAAAAAATATCGACCAAATAGTCTTGGAGAAAAGCTGTGGATGGTCGGATTTTTTAAAATTAGATTTTCGGATTATAAGTATCGTAAAACACTTCGGTCGATTACTCATTATTTTTCATTCAGTTCATTATTCAAAATATTTATAAGAAAAAAAAAATTATTTACAACGAAGATTTGAATGAATACCTATGTATATCTTTAACCAAAAAAATAATAGTTATTTATTCAGACACCTCTGGATAATAATATAAGGACACTTCTTAGACTGAGAGGGAGGGGGAACGAGAGACAGAGAGAGGGGAAAGGACATGTAGAAAGGCGAGATGTAGATAAAGATAGTCACGTAAAGGATAACAAAGGCAACGAACATGGAGTACTGTTAGCGGGTACGCTTAGTACTTATCTTGTTAGTATTTTATGCAATTAGGTCCGATTTTAGCAACGTAGTTCTCTACTGTTCGAGGAACCCACGACATGATCGTTGCAGTTCTATTTCGAGTTTAAGTTATAAATATACTGGTATTTCGATATAAGAGGAAGGAGTACATTATATGTTTTGAATATATATTATAAAAATCTGGAGTTCACTATCCAATGCTGTTAGCACGGCAGTTGGTTTTTTAATATTATTTAAAATATTGATTAGATATTACACTAACAAAATGAAGTTATCTATCTGGGATGAATGGGTATTATTGTTTGATATATATAACGAAATTGGGCCCGGGATTGCTGTGGGGGTATAAGGCGTTCGCAGTAGGTGATCAAATATAAGCAACGTCGAAGTGTCGAGTACTTGAATGTGTAACTGCCCTGAGCGGTATTTGCGACCTCCCCCCATCAGGAAAAACTACGCTAAGATTCCTTCTCCCTCCGGTATGTGAGACCCGTCAGCCTACTAGAGGAAACTCACACCGTTCGGACCAAGAGGTGATGACCCGTCTCCGCAGAGGTTTAATCCATGGACGGGATACTTCAAGAAATGATTTTGAACAGCCATAATCGATGGATATACAGAGATTTTCGTTTATTATTTTCAATAATGAACCACTGAAATCGTTCATAAAATTAATCACGCCCCCCCCCCCAAAAAAAAAAAAAAAATTGAAGTTTTAGGTTTCACGATACGTAGAATTCGAAAATCGAATACATTTTTTTTGTCCCTGACTACTGTACCAATTTTTTTTGAAATTTTGAATCAAAGTCAGAGGTAACCGAGAATGATTCTCATACCTCGAAATTATTATCTGCCCTTAACTTCCAAGATGGCGGCCGAAAAATCTATGTTGTGCTACCTAGGTATAGATTGTAATGCCTGAACGAATGTACCAATTTCAATCAAACTTGACTAGTTTTCTACTCGATGACCTTTAAATTTATATTTATAATGTACTTCAATGAAAAGAAGCTGGAAAAGAAGTGATAATGTTTCACTATCCTTCTAGTGTCCATTGTCCAAAAGATTGGGTACATATTAGTATATTTTCACACTTCCATACTCCTTATGGTAGAAGCGATCTCTCATCGTTCCAGGATGATGCCTTTGACTATACATTTAGCAGTGATATCGTTATATCTGCTGCCGAGACGACTGTTGCTCTGCTGGCTGCTAGATCGTGCTGGCAGTAGATCCGGTGACATCTTAGGGCCTTGTAGTACTGTACTTGTACCTGGAGTCGTGGCCCGTAGCGCACGCCCCTCCCGCCGGACCTCGGCTACACAGCCTT